CCCCAAAACCCCAAAACCCCAAAACCCCAAAACCCCAGCTCTAATATTCTGGCTGAAAGTCTAAACTTATTGCATTTTTTAAATACTATTTCAACAGAAGCCCTTCAGATGTTATTTTAGCGTTGCCAATATGACCATAAGTTGTATGCCCAGCAGAGTAAAGCCAAACAAGCCAAATGAATTGGCAATAACTGAACAAGCAATTCAAGCTAAGCATAGTCTCCCTGATATATTCTAAGTAATTATGGCAACGCAGATACAATGATTTTTATTAAAACATAACTCATCTCACGCCTAAAGTAATACAGACTGGTGTTAGATCTAGCCTTAAAGTTAGCCTAAATATATTAAAAGTCTTGCAGAATCATTTTAGATGCTCAGATAATATCATAAAGGTTATGACTCTACGGTCTGAAAGCTCTAAGGAAACTACCCTCAGTTGCGCTTCTATTCTCATGATTCCACAACTTTCAAGTCTCAATTAGTCATATGAAAGTTGTAATGATGTTGTGCTTATAGATTCATTCATTCCATAATATGTCACAAGGACCAATTCTAACAATTTCAAGTGGAAATAAGAAAGGTGTTATTGTACGAAAGATTTTAGGATTTTTATGCTCTTTTACCACTAGTATATGCTAAATTAGCAAGAGTGTGGCTTACAAATCTACAAAGCCTTAAGCTCTCTATTGCGGATGTATCACCTAATTCAATTCATACCTCCTATCACTAAGAGCTATACCGCATCATTGAAGGCAAGTGGGCTTTAAGGGTGGTTCCCATCATATATCACGAAGAATTATGAATTTAGATGCCATCTCAACATGTCAATTTCTTAATAAGAATTTCTATTTGCTGCTAAGATCATTCCTTACTAACTAGACTTATGGAGGACTTGGCCAAGATGAGTTATTAACAAATAATCGTTCCAATGAATTTAAGGTGATTGGATCAGGAAATTCCTCTAAAATTCAGCTTTAGGGTGATGACAAGAAGACCAGAATAGAGTCATTGAAGACTAGATTTTGATTATCAAATGCTTATTTGGACCTAGCAAGTAAGGCTCCTCACTGATAGTTGAAATCACCTTAAATGTATGCTTAGTAAACTCAGACATGAAGGTCCCCGATAGTATACTCCTTCTTGTCTAGAATTTTATTTCTGCCTTCTATTGAATTAGGAGCCCAAATCGAGACTTGTCTTAAAGAGCCACTCAGACTTGACTCTGCCATTTTTTGTATGAGCCCATCAAAGTACTCATTGTCTTCTTCTGGTTGGATGATGGTGTTGTTAGACAAAGAGATGGTCCTTATTAAAGGCTGAACATTATCAAGATAGTCAAACCCATTGATAACAATTCTGCATGCTTGAAATAGTACTCAAGTAGAGCTCCCACAAGATACTAGGACTCTGCCAAAGTCTCTGTGTGATACTTTGAAATTAATAATTTGAATCAATTGAGGGGCTAAAGGAAGAAACCTAACAATGTTTCTGGCATAAAAGCTGAACAATAGTGAACCTGGAGAATTCCCATCAAAGTAGATCCTTTTAAGTTCGCTCACTCTTAACTGACCTAATAGCCTGTTAAGCTTCTTGTCATTCTTCTGAATGTTATGGAAGGCAATATACTCCAGCTTCTCTACTTTTGGAGCCAACTTCTCTATCTTTGTCAGTGCTTGCTTATCTTGAAAGTTTTTGAGAATCATTGAAATACTGTTAGATTTCTTCTGTCTGAATGAAATATAGTAATATTGTTTGCATACTGCATCCAGAATATCTGCATTATTTCTTTCAGTTTCTTGATGTAAAGCATATTCGTTGTATGCCTTTCCCCCTTTGAACTTCCACTTAAGAGTGGAATATGCTTCCCCCATTATTTAATATTATAATTTCCAATCTTTTAATACAATTTCGGGGTTTTGGGGTTTTGGGGTTTTGGGGTTTTGGGG